GCCAGAATTTTCCTTGTGATCCATTCTGTATATCTTCCTGAAGATACCAGTGTATTTTCACCATCCTTTGGCTCTATCTACCTTTCCAGTATCATTAAGAGACTGGATACAAAAATCCACATTTTATTACAAGAATATGTCATTTTTCACTTTCATCTCTGTTCAGTGTTCATGATACTTGAGTTATTCTCATTTCTATCTTTCCTCTGGTCTTATATATTTATAATTGGCAGTATATTCTCTGACTCTTTTCTAATGTGTGTGCGTTTATGATATATGAGTATGCATATGTGTGCATGTTTGTGTATGTGAGTGCAGTCATGCTTATACTGTCATGAATGTGTAGAAGTCTGAGGAAAAGCATAGGTATTAGTTTTAACATTTCTATTCCCATGTTGGAAATAGAGTCTCTGTTTATCATGGTGTATACCAGTCTGTCTGACTGGCAGGCTTCCAAGGATTTTCCCATCTCTCCCTCCCATCTCACCACAGGAGTGCTGCAATTACAGATGTGTGCATCTGTGCTCAGCTTCACATGTTTTCTTGGGATCCAAAACCGAGGTCATCATACAGACCCTGCAAGTGGCTTTATTCACTGTGCTTTCTCTCAGTCCACCATTTCCAGTTCTGATATTTGATACCAAATGATATCGGTTTGCAGATGTTACCAGTTTTACTCTGATAGATTTCTCTATCTACCTACCCTTCTGCAAAGGTCAGTCATGCACAACTAAACAGTAGATCTGCATTCTGAGGAGAGCATCATTCGACACTTTCACTACTGTGAAGACAGCATAGAGAAGTCACACAAACTAAGATAGCTGCAGTCAATAGACCAACATAATGTGATGTGGCCACCATCATATATGCCATACGTATTTGACCCAAATGTTAGTATTTGGTACATTTAATTTGTTTTTAACAGATTCTATTACTAATTTATATACTTATGTACAAACAAAATATATTCAAAGAGTGCCTACTGATAGAGCAGTAGCCTTGGTGAATTTTTAAAAGCCACAAGCCTTTATATAAACCTGAAATATGCTTTAAATATGTTGTAAAAAAATTTACTCCTCATTTAAGAATTTCTGGCATCCTTTCTTCAAATAATGATTGAGAATCTTTTTTTTATAACAGAATTTTGTGTGAGGAGGTATTTTGCCTACATATGTGTCTGAGAGCTATGTGCATGTTGGGTGCCTGCCAAGGCCAGAAGAGGGCATCAGATCCCCTGAGACTTGAGTTACAGGTTGTTGTAAGCCACCATGTGGGTGATAGGAATTGAACCCAGATCCTGTGGAAGAGCAACAAGTCCTCTTAAGCACTGAGCTGTCTCTCCAGCCTCATACATAGGAACTTACAAACAACTGGTGCCAGTAGTGATTGGTTGGGTTCTTTATAGATGCATTGGGTCCCTTATATTTGGTTTGATATTTTTTTACAAATCCCATTTTCCTTTTACACTGTTAGTGTATAGTTACCTCCTTGTACTGATCACAAATATCCTCATCTTGCAACAGGGGAGGGGCAAAGAAGATAAAGTAGGATAATCAATTTTATATAAATATGTGCAAAAGCCCACCCAGTATTGAAATGACCATTAATATCCTCTCCAAGCTGTGGTTAAACTGTCCTTTAATCCAATACATACCACTTTCCTGCTAAAATAAACTGTGGATTGATCGGAGATGTCCTTCTGTCCCCAACCACAACCCAAGAGAGAATGAGCTAGTCCCTCTTCTTCCTTATAAGGGATCACATCCCCACACCTGAAGCCACACCCAAGTCCCAAGATGCCACTATAGCAGGCTTCTGCTTCAAGGTGGAAAAGAGGTAGAATTTTACACTGAAAATAAGTTCACGTTTGCAAACACCGAGTTCAAGAGTCCTTGGCTGTCTTTCTTCTTTGTTGTCACTGTGTTAGAAGATCAGGAGAAGGAGGGTGGTAGCTTTCTTCCACATTTGTCACCTTCGTGCAGCTGCTTCTCTACCCCATTCTACTAAGTGTGTTTGGATGCTTGGCATTGGGTTCATTGTTTCTAAGCTGACTTGAGAGAGTCAACAGCTAATACCAGTGCCATTTAGCTGAAAGGACCCAAAGGGAGGAAAAGTGTGTATAAAGAATGGACTAGTTGGTGGTTCTGCATTCTCTGGGGCAAATGATAGCTGCTACCTGAGACAAATGTAGTTCCTGTTTGGATTGGAAGCTGTGTTCTCTTTTTTCCAGTGTGCCAACATGGTATCTTGAGAGCTCTGTGAGTCATCAATTTCAATAAACCATGTCTAGTATAGTAAATGGTTCTTTGACACGTTGTCAGCAAGCATACATATATATATATATATATATATATATATATATATATATATATATATTTCGGTTTCAATGCACAAACACATACAAATATTCACTTTTTAAGTTTAATATGGGAATTCCCTATGGGGCAATATCAAGAAAAACATTTTATTGCAACTTCTAGGTATGTATATCTCAAACTTAGACCACCAGTTTATTGTTTTATTTTTGTAAATATTTTTGTAATTATTAGATGCTATGTATTCCGTTAGGGTTATATACTTTCAAAAGTTCTGGAAGAATTATTCAGCCATTTTAAAGTCAGCCTGAACCCTGCTATGTGTTCATGGTAAAATAAATATCAGCTTCCTTGGAATAAATCACACACATACACACACACACACACACACACAGACACACACACACTCGGTTTGTGAACAATGAAGAACTGAGTACTTCCTTCTGGTATTCTTGTGGTTTAACTCTAGGTAGAGTGGCAAAGGGAGTTATTTGAGAGCTGTCCCAATTTTCACAGTCCAGACATTCCTCAAACTAGTGGGACGTTTCTGTCTCTTTCTGGGTATAATTTTCTATAGCATTCAGGCAATGCAAATGACTAAAATCATCATTAGAACCACATCTGCACTAAAGAATCTGGATGTATTCACATTGCCCCCTCAGGGCTGAGGTAGGAGATTGAAGAAAAGTGAAGCAGGTAAAGACTCCCGTTGTAAAGTCATCCATTCCCCTCCACTAAAGGAAGGGTTTACACAGCATACACTTCCGGGAGCTACTGCACAGTACTCCACATGGTACTCTTAAACATCTTCTTCAAGATGAATGGAACCTATTCAGGCAAAATAGAGACTACAGAGCCTTCATGGCTTCTTAAGCATCAGATTTCTGAGCCTGAAAATTTTCCCTCCTTCCTGTTCCAAAGAAGCTGTTTGCTTCTGTAAGAAAAATACTGGCATCAGACCTATTTCCCTGAGGACATGTGATGGTGTGGGCTAGTTGGAGGCAGTTTTGAGATCCATAATTGATTTTATGCCTAAAGTTTTCCGTAAGACTTACTGTTCCTTGTCCCTGAATATGCAAAGGACTTAAGTCTTTTGAACTATAGTGACAGGTGGAAATAGCTAAGCCATAATTTAGCCAAGTCATTTATTTTTACTGGTAAGGAAAATTATATTTTAGAAATAAACTTTCTCTGTGTCCCTCCGCCTCTACCAGTATACACATAAACACGTATGGGTATGAATTTGTAAATGCATATTTTTATAAACTATATTGCATGCACTATTTCCTAAATAATATCTATATAAAATATATACGATCTGTGTTTGGAAAGAGATTAAATTCTTGTACATAGAGAAAGAGAAATGAACTGAACATTCTCTTTGGGTAAAGAATTCTTACCTTTTAGATTTGTTTTTAAATATGTGTATGTTTTGTGTGTGGGTTTGTGCACGTGAATTCAGATGCCCACAGAAATACCAGATCACCCTGGAGTTAGGGTTACAGACCGTTGTGAGCCACCTAAAATCAGTGCTGGGGACCGAGCTCAGGTCCTCTAAATGAGCAGTGAATGTTCTTAACTGATGAGCTCCTTCTTTAGTCCCCTGGAGGATTCTCAATACCTCAACAACTTAGAAACTGGTGTGTCCTCATCGTGTGACCTCTCTAGCTTCAAGGAACAAAATGGGGCGTTGGAATGCTCAGTAAGTACAGTTTGTTAGAAGGAAAAATGAACTTTCAGAGACTGGAACCTGGCCTAACACAACAAGCCTGGTGGCTCCCCTGTTCTGGCAAACTGTCCTCAGAGTCCAAGTGCATGCCAAGGCAAGTGACTATGAAGGAACAGACACTTTGTACATCCCAAGGAGCTCTACTCTATCATGGTTTAATAGGGATCAGGAAAAACAGATAGGCTGAATAGGTGTTTGTTCAGGGAGAAATAACTTACAACAGAGACAGATGAACACCAGCAGGTTCTTGGTCGCAAGGATGCCTCCAGATGCTCTCTGTCCCGGTCCTGCTAGCAAGAGAGCACTCAGAGGCCCCTTCTCCAGACCTAGTTCCCCCAATGGGTGTGGTCAGTGTCACGGGTGCAGACAAAGTATCTCACTACAATACTCTCTTCTGAAACACACCCCCTATACACACACTTGTAAAACACAGCACAATGAACTACCTCTTCAAAATCTATTAGGAAAGCAAATCAGATCTATTACTGATATCGATATGCTTCTCTACAGATGGAAACAGTACAACTGTGGGGTTGGGCTGTTCACTTGATCAGCACCAAGGGAGATGGGAGAATAGGGAAATGAGGAGTTTTGCTCCTGATCTGCACAGGGACCTCTCCAACTGGTCTGTTTATGTGAGCCAAGACTATGGCAGTCATGTCTGCTCCCCTCTCTATTATTTATGACAGTTTTTGTATGGCCTTAACAGGGCAGAGCCACTATAATGAAAAGCCCAGGCCTAACCAATAAGTGTTGGAGTTTGCTTACCCTGTTGTGGGGCACGAGGGGTAGAAAGTTTTTGAGAAGGGTGGGGATTGCTGCCTGTGCCTCTGATGAAGCCAGGACTGAAAGTCATGGGGACGTATAACCATTGCCCCATGTGTGTCTTTTCCTTTCAGGCCAAGGTTCTATAAAAGGCCCTCATTTCTAACACTTTGTTCTCTATCCTTTGCCAGATTCCGACTTGAGCATGCGTACATTGAGCACGCCCAGCCCAGCCTTGATATGTCCACCGACTTTGCCAGGATTTCAGAATGGAAGGGGCTCCTCCACTTCTTCATCCTCCATCACCGGGGAGACGGTGGCAATGGTTCACTCCCCACCCCCGACCCGCCTCACTCACCCACTCATCCGGCTGGCCTCCAGACCCCAGAAAGAGCAAGCCAGCATAGACCGGCTCCCAGACCACTCTATGGTGCAGATCTTCTCCTTCCTGCCCACCAACCAGCTGTGCCGCTGTGCACGGGTTTGCCGCCGCTGGTACAACCTGGCCTGGGACCCGCGCCTCTGGAGGACTATCCGCCTCACGGGCGAGACCATCAATGTGGACCGTGCCCTGAAAGTGCTGACCCGTAGGCTTTGCCAGGACACACCCAATGTGTGTCTCATGCTAGAGACTGTCATTGTCAGTGGCTGCCGTAGGCTCACAGACCGAGGGCTCTACACCATTGCACAGTGCTGCCCAGAACTGAGGCGCCTGGAAGTCTCAGGATGTTACAATATCTCCAACGAAGCTGTCTTTGATGTGGTGTCCCTCTGCCCCAACCTGGAACATCTGGATGTGTCAGGTAAATGGAAACTGAACTCAAAACCTGGGTATTCCATCACAGAATAGTAAAGACATTGCTACCTGTACAGGGTCCCTTTCTCTTATTAATATTTATTTTTAAGCTTTTGAAATTATGTGTATTTGCATATCTGCATATAGGTATGTGCATATCAGTCCAGGTGCCCACAGAGTCCATAAGATGGCATCTGCTGGAGTTGGAGTTGAAGGCAGTCAAGGACTTCCCATGATGGGTGCTGGAAACTAAACTCAGGTCCTCTGGAAGAGAAGTGTGAGTCATCTCTCAGTTCTCCAGCATCTCCTTGCTAGTTACCAGAGAGGAACAGTGTGTAGTAGGGAGGCTAACTGATCAGAAAATGCCTCACTATGGAATCGTAATTCAGAAGGCCAGAGTAGCCACTGTATTCACCATTCACCTCTTGAAGGAACTGTAGGAAACTTGGTCCTGATAGGTTGGATCAATCTACCTTAAATGTGACCTCATACTCCAGAACAATTATGCATAATGTAAACTTAAAAAAAAATCTAACAAGACAAATAGAAAGAAATGACTAATAAAACAGGCCATTCAGAAACTAGTCTTTTGGGTTTGTTATGAGTTAGTAGAGCCTTGATAAAGTTAGTAGAGCCATGGTAAAGCCACAGCAATCCCTGTGCATGCCACATCCTGACCTGACAGTCCTCCATGGGGATTCAAACGCTGGCCTGAGAGCTGTGCTCACAATGGCTTTTCTATCTCTAAACAATGGGGCAAGTCTGCCATGGTCAAGTGATGACCCCCTTTCCCCATTCTTTTGGGCTAATTTTACAGCTCTTTTTAAAAAAACATTTCTCAGTTACATAGTACAAGGGCAGGGTCCACTGAATCTCTTGAAAATTAGAGGAAAACCCAGTATAATTGCTTTGCTTAAAGTTTCTCTTAGACAGGAAGAATTAAGGCCCAGAGTCAAACTTTGGCGCCAGACAGGGACCCAGCCTGAATAACACCTCCCCCCTCACTCCCCGATTTTTTACTTTTATCTCATCTGCTTTACAGTCAAAAGATGAACGTTTTAGAGGCTGAGATGTGTAAGATTTTTTTTAAAAAATGAGAGTCATGAACTGTGGCCTCAGGAATGGTTGGGGAAAGGTCAAAAGGTGAAACCCACTGTGTCAGGCAAATAAATAGAATGTGGGATTTACAAGAATCTGAGGTAAATGAAGCCCTTCCCCCCCCCAAAAAAAAAAATGGAGGTAAACAGCTTCCAGCTTGTTCTGTCTTTCAGAAGCTGACATCTGAAAATATTTCCGCTGACAGCCCATTATTTTTGCAGATTCTTTCCCTGGCTGGAAAGCTGCTTACTACTCCAGCTTGAGCTGGCTTCAGGACAAAGCCATCGTTTCTGTGCCTTAGATTAGTCATGAGCCTCCATTGGCATGCAGAAGAGGGAAACAAGGAGGCCTTCTTAAGTTCTTCCTCCAAGGAACTTTGGAAAACCATGGAGCACTGAGATTTGGAGCAATTCACTTAGCACTTAGAGCTATAACTTGATGTGTTTTCTCTTGAGCTAAGAAATAAAAATGACAAACTCTTTACTATTCTTGCCACCTGAACATTTTACAAACACTTTTTGTATTTTCTCTGATTAGAAAATAAGTTGCTTAGAATTCCCAAGTTTGTCAGAGCGTGTTCCCAGGTGCCCTTCATATAGAATGCAAGTTAATTGTGTTGTCTTGTTTGAGGTCCTTTTGAAATTCTAAAATGTCTGAAGCCACTTTGGCTGACTGGGAATGGGATTGTTAAACTTTCTGGCCCGAGTAAGCTGCTTGCTGTACAACTTGACTAACTGTTACTAAGTCTTGCTAGCTGTCCTCTACTTCAATGTCATTTTCATGCATATAAATATTTATATAGCTTCCTGGAAGATTGCCAATAACACTACAGATCTGTAATAACAAGAGGAGTCTATGCCTCACCAACTTAGGATGGAATTTCACCATTCAAGTAGAGATGGACTTGAAAGGTTTAGCAGATTGGACTAAAGGATGAGTTTGCCATCAGCACTTACTAAAAGTCTCTTCCATTTCTTGGGGGATTTGGAAATGGTTGGCCAAAACAGGGAGGCCAGAAGGCCACCAAAGTTGCTTTCATTAATCAATACCCAACTCCCTTGGTTTTAAGCTGGCTTCAGATAGTGGCTAACTTTCCAATGACAGTAAACTTGAGTATGGAAGGCTCGCTTTCTGGTCTAGAATTCCTGTAGAACAGAATTTCTCAATCTATGGGTTGCCACCCCCACAGGGGTTGAGTATCAGATACTTACATTACAATTTATAACAATAGCAAAATTAAAATTATGAAGTAGTTACAAAATAATGTTATGGTTGTAGGGGGTGGAGGTCACCACAACATAAGGAACTGTTTGAAGGGATCACAGCATTAGGAAGATTGACAGTTACTACTCTAGATGGCATTGGATTACCTGTCCCATATTTATCAAGGTAGAAAAGGCTAATGTTCAATATTAATTTCCAAATCACTGGTGATTACCACAGCTAGATGTAGTATCCTGGCATTATATAAATTACCTTTATTAGTATTTTAACATAATTAGGATCTATTAAAACCAACTAACTTTGAAAATTAAAGTGTAATTGCTGCAAATGAAGTCACTGCAAAGGGGCTCTCTCCAACAGGACATCTGAGAACCACCCATTTTTTTTTCTCCCTAATCTTTTCTTTCTAATCAGCAGCATCTTCTCCAGGCCGTCCTAATTTCCCAGCAGTCCCTGAAGTCCAACCCCTGCCTGCCTGCCTACAGGAACACTTCATCAGCTACTTTTTTAAAAACATGTTCGTCCATATTCCACATATTCAACTTCTGGAGGAAATTTTTTCAAGTTTTAAGCCTTTATTTTTGTACATAAATTCTCCAATTTTCTCCACCTAAGACTTACACCAAAGATTCATGTTTCTCCATAGCTTGTGTAAGGCCCCAAATGAGTTGTTCTTCCAAGATTCAAATCCCCATTCTTCTGTAACTCTGCAGATCTCCAGACACAACATACCTGTGCATACAATGATGGTATCTTCTTTTATGGGTTCCACATAGGTAGTCCCTTTTCTGCTCCAATCCCAAACCTTCCCAGCAATCTCTTAAGAGATTTGCCATTTTTCAGGTGGGATCTCACATGAACACAGCCTTCCACACCTTATGTCTAGTGAGCCCAGGCTTTCCTGTCCTCTGCATTTTGAACAGAGGCAACTAAAACAGCATTGAATTTACTTTCTGGCACTTGCATGTTTTCAGGTCCCTGTCTTTCAAGGCATTAGCTTTCTATGGGCAGAAACAAGGGATTTTTATTTTGTATTTTGGGATCTTGTAATTTATTGGAAATTGAAGTGCCAAACCTTGAAATGGTCATCTTGAAAGAGTTCAAGTTTCCATTGGTTAGTATACCAAATAGCACTATTGAAGCTGTGAAAATCTCCTCATAACTAAAATAGGGGTAACTGAGGCTTCACTGGGTTCATTATGTTAAGTTATTGTATGCAGTGGATAACAGCAACAATTGCTGTTTTATTTCCATATTTTTAGTTAACACTCTTAGAAGCTAGTCTTTGATCTTCACTGGTTGGACTACCTTGCATTCTGGAGAAAGTGGTGATCCTCCCCACCACAGATGAGAGTGAATCATGATCCATAGAAAATTTGTGAGAGCTGGAGTTAATGCTTGTTTAACCGTTGTTGTTCATCTTGTTGGAATAATGTTCACCCCACACCCCCTTTTTAAAAACTTATCTATGCTTTTAAATTCCATTTTACATTCCAATCACAGTTCTCTCCACCAGCTCCCTCACAGCCTACCCCCCCATCTTCCTCCCCAATCCCACCTCTCCCCTGCCTCCTCTCCCCCAGTTCACACTCAGTCCACTCTTCCTCACAGGTAAGGGCTCCTATGAGAAGTCAACAAAGTCTGGCACAATAGATAGGAACAGGGCCAAGCCCCCCTCCCATGAATTAAGGCTGAGCATGACATCCCACCATAGGGAATGAATCTCTGGGAATCCAGTCGAAGAGAGAGAGGAGGGAATATATGAGCAAGAAAAGTCAAGATCATGATGGAGAAATCTACAGACACAGCTGAACCAAGCTTGTGGAAACTCATAAAATCTAGAGCAACAGCTGTGGAGACTACAGGGGAACAAACTAAGTCCTCTATATGTGGGAGACAGTTGGGAAACTTGGATGTCTGAGAGGCCCCTGGCAGTAATACCATGATACAAACCTAGAACATGACCTAATGTGTTGGAGCACCTCTCACTCTTAGACTTTAAGGCAACCAACCATTCCTTATTTTCTGTTAAATCTTTCCAGAAACCAAAAGATCCACCTTATGACCATCCCTCACTCCTCGAAATACTGAGTGGTTTCTTGTCTCTCAAGTTTGGCTTTCTGTTTCAATATTGGTACTTCATTCTATGAATCCAAGTTTGATTATCTCCTTAAATACAGCCACTTCAAAACATGCATTAACGCGTGTCTGCAGGTTTGTCCCTTGATGGCACATCTACTGCAAATCCCTGTGTAGCCCACAGTTCTGCCACATCATAGGCATTTATTACTTCCCTATTGTCAATGAGACCTTGAACAAATCTGAAATTTGCTCTAGTCTGTGTGAAGAAGGCACATTGAGGCACAAGCCACATCTTTTAAAATTGTTTAAATGAATGATTTCTAAGGGTCCCTTCATATCTGTAAAATATGAACGCATGAAGTATTCATTAGTATTACTGAACCATGAAAAAAATTATTTTTTTCAATACAAACTTAACAACTCCATAAGAACTAGAGGTAGCCATAATGTTAAAAATTATTGATAGAAATTCATACATGCATATCAAAATAATTTACTGCAACTATACTAAACTATTTTCTTAAATTTGAAACTCCTCTTTTTAATATATATGTATATATGTATGTGTGTGTATATACATATCTCCCTAAATATTGTGTCTTTCCTGCGCACAACAGATTTTGCTAGATATTAAAAATGTAGAAAGGAAACTAGAACCAAAATAGGAGAATAAAATATTTTATATAACAGAAGAAAACAAGAATACCTACATAGAGAGGAAGAAATAATTGAGATATGTAGGATTATAGTCATCTCAAGGGAACAAACAAAAAAAAAAAAGGAATGGGAATATCTTAAAGTTAACCACCTCCCAGAAACCCACGTTGCCCCCACAGAGGGGAGTCAGTGTTTTCCATGATTGGTGCTTCACATCTTAAAATTCTTGCCTTGGGGTACATGACATTTGAAACCCATTATTCTGAGGACCAGTGCTTTATCAGAGTTTCCTGGGCAGCCTGCCAGGAGGTAGAAGAGTCCCCAATAGTATTGTTATTGTGCTGCTCACAAGCCTTAGATATTGCCTTGAGTAGCCCCAGGCTGGGGGCATCTGAAGTGACATGCCTGGTTATACACTTGCAACAGGGATCTGATAAGAGTATGGAGAAAATGAGTATATAGTAGAATGGGATGGGTTCTAAATACATATTTCTATAGTTTATATTAATAGGTTTTGACTATGTAATAGAAGTTGGCTACATATGCTTTTGTAAAATAATATTTAATATGTATTTCATTAGTATATGCAATATCACTATAATTAAGCTGTACAATACAATTTTAAACATAGTTTTAGGGAATTAAGAATGATATATAGGCATTATCCAAAAATATCTTCTTGGGCATTACTATCCTATTCTTTAAAAGTATTAAGAATCAGATTAAAAAATATTCACCACAGTACTTTGTGAACTTCATTATTCAACACAAATAAAAGGCATTTGTACTAACTATAAATAAACAACTATTTTTTAATGCAGATATTCTTGAGTTAAGGCCAAAGTCTGAAGACATGTAAATGTTGGAAGTTCAATTCTCACATCAGATCTATTATGGAGATGTTCCTCTTTAAATCATTTCTTCCCTTCCTCATTCATTCATTCATTTATTCAATCACCTGACACTTATTCAGTGCCAGCTATGAACTGAATATAAAAGGGATGGTGATTAACTTGCCTGAGTCCTTTCCCTCAGGAGCTTGCATTCCAGAGTAAGCAGACAGCAAATAAATAACAGATCAACATTCAATGATAAATGTGCTTAAAATAAAGGGGATAGTCAGGGATACTAGTTTATGCATGGCAGTCCAAGAAAACAAGAAAGTTGAAGGTGGCTCCTAGAGCTCTTTGAAGAAGGTCCTTCCTTAATACAGGCACAGAAGCTATAAGACGGGTAGAAGTGATGTCAGGAAACGGCAGGGTCACATTAGGGTCAGTGGTATAAGCAGAGGGAAGCTTGATCTATTAGACCAGGCATGAAATAGGTCATCTAAAGATGGTTTGAGTGCCATTTCTAGGACTCTACTAACAGCTGTGTAGAAATAGTAAAGGGGATAAAGGCAAGGCAAGGAAGGAGCCAAGTAGACAGGTTAGGATTTTTGGATGACAATGCTGTCTTCTGTTTTCTACCAATACCTATTGAATCAAATACCAGACATTAATTTGGTAGAGTAGTAATTACACAAATATCCCATAATTCTCCAAGTATTTTCTGATCTGTGGCTTCACTGCATTTCATTCTTTTCCTGAAGTATAGAATTGCCAGACGCTCATCTATTCTATTGAGATGCACATGTGACCTCATGACTTATTCCGTGGAAAGTGGTCCTAACCTAACTGTAAACTCTCAACCCAGGGAACCCAGAAGGGTCTGTCCAAACAAGTTCCAGTGTTCTCTCTCACTACTCCCCTTCTCTCATTTCATTTCTTTGAATCAAGAAGCGACTAGATCACTGCCAGACCTTTAGGAACTTCCTGAAACTCATAGGGTCATAGCAAGATATTTTGACACACAGTCTCACTCTATTACAGCTTTCCTGTGAGTAAGGCCTGTGCCCATTTTATGACGAAGAAATTACAGTGTGATTTGCCCTAAGACGTGTTGGTATTTCCTATTCTAATCTTGGTATTTCCATTTATAAAATCTGCAAATCCACTTAATCCCCAAATTCAGCAAAATTACCAAATAACCTAGCAAAGAGGAAATCATTCCTAAAACCTTTCTCTGTAGAGGTCAAGACCATCAGCGTTAACCCCTGGATTGGGCTAGAAAGGAGATTAAGAATCAGCTATGGCTCCCTGGAACCAAGTTCCCACTCTAGCAAGTTGATCTGAGTGTGTGTTCTGTGTCTTTATGCAGGGTGCTCCAAAGTTACTTGCATCAGCTTGACCCGGGAGGCCTCCATTAAACTGTCCCCCTTACATGGCAAACAGATTTCCATCAGATACCTTGATATGACGGACTGCTTCGTGCTGGAGGACGAAGGTTTGCACACCATCGCAGCTCACTGCACGCAGCTCACACACCTCTATCTGCGCCGTTGTGTCCGCCTCACGGATGAGGGCCTCCGCTACCTGGTGATCTACTGCACATCCATCAAGGAGCTCAGTGTCAGTGACTGCCGCTTTGTCAGTGACTTTGGCCTGCGGGAGATTGCTAAACTGGAGTCCCGCTTGCGGTACCTCAGCATTGCCCACTGCGGCCGCATCACGGATGTGGGCATTCGTTATGTGGCTAAGTACTGCAGCAAATTACGCTACCTCAATGCGAGGGGCTGCGAGGGCATCACGGACCATGGAGTGGAGTACCTTGCCAAGAACTGCACAAAACTTAAGTCTCTGGACATTGGCAAATGTCCTCTGGTCTCAGACACGGGCCTGGAATCCCTGGCTTTGAACTGTTTCAATCTCAAGAGGTTAAGCCTCAAGTCCTGCGAGAGCATCACCGGCCAGGGCCTACAGATCGTGGCTGCCAACTGCTTTGACCTGCAGATGCTGAATGTCCAGGACTGCGAAGTTTCAGTGGAGGCCCTGCGGTTTGTGAAGCGCCATTGCAAGCGCTGTGTCATTGAGCATACAAACCCTGCTTTCTTCTGAAGGGGCGGCTCCCGTGAGCCGTGAAAACGCGGCCTACAGGAACCAAACAATGTTTTGTAAAAGCAGCCCATGTAAGCACCCACACCCACTCATAGCTCATAGCCCCTGTTTCTTCCGGGAATGTTCTTTGGAGTCTGGCTTTTAGTTTTATTTCTCATGAGCAAATGAGGTTACGGAAATGAAGAAGGAAAACCAAATTTCTACCGTGGTAAACTGGTTCTGGTCGGTTCATTTGTAGACATAGGCTCACAAAGGGTGCACCTCAGCAGGCTGGTCACTCTGTCTTTGGAAATGCACCTTACCCTATCCTCCTTTCCCCTGCTCGGCCGCAAGGCGTATCCCAAAGTTCCACACCTTCATCTTCCAACCCTGCAACAACTGCAGCATTGTCAGAATGAGACCCTCTAAAGCTGATGTTAAACTACTTGGTAGATATAAGCCCCACTCCTAAATCCCACAGCAAGCAAATTGGGGTTAAAGTCATGTTAACACTTTACGTGTGCAGAGATCTTCCCCATGCTAAGCAATTATGGCAAATCACACGGAGTAAAAAGAGACATATTTTCTATCCCAGCTCTGCCACTAACTAGCTGTGTGATCTTGGTCAAAACACCTCACCTTTCTGGGCTCCAGCTTCCCACCACCAGAGGCTAGAGGTGGGGGGATGAGCCTCATCCCCGTTTTAGAACTGAGAGAATAGTGACGCCGATAAGCAGAGCTTTGTATAAAACACACAGGCAGCACTTCTGAGAGAAATAGTGTGATTGAGCTGTACTTTGGGGAGGTGCTGGGTGGTCACCATAAGTGCACATAGGGTCCTGGACGGATGTCCTTTTGCTCGCCTCTAAGCACCAACACAACTCTGGTAGGCTAGGCTTGTGCACATGTACACTCCCAGCACCACCACCACATCCAGCTCAGGCAGGAGAGTGCACCATGACATGAAGCCTTTATCTCCCTGTCAGCTTGCATCTGCTGAGCACTTTCAACTCCAAGTAGAGACCCTTATAATTTTTAATTAACAAGTGAGGTCCAAGGGAACCCACATTCTTAAAGGTTTTTCTAACCCTTCTCGGTGGTGCACATATGCTATGCTTCAGGCACATATGTCCTGCAGCCAGTGGGGACAGATGCCTTAGTCCTTTGTCATTCACATTTTGTTTTGACTTCCCTCATCTATTTATTTCTCCATCACATGAAGTCTACTGGGCTTAAGTTTATAAGTGTCTAATTGTACAGAGGCCACCTTGCCTGCTGGCTGCCTGCTTTCCACTAAAGAATGTAAGACAGACTTCCAGGTGTTTCAATATGGTTCACTCAGAAGTACCAGTCTCATAGAAGAGGGAACACACTGATAAGACAGATGCTGTGCCACCCACCAAAGTATTGGGACAAAACATTAAAATCATTTCAAAATTTGAATTTTAAGTTGATGGACTTCTAAATGGCCCCTTCTGAATACAAAGCAATTTACTGGTTTCATTTTTAAAGAATTGGATAGATAGCCAGAAGAAATTCTGCCACTCGTTTTCATGAATTCCAGTTGTCTTTTGTTAGTAAACCCAGGACTTTCCCCAATTTATTTTCTGGCCACATTACTTCCCCACCACTGTTGAAACAGTTTGGCCCTCTTTTTCTCAGAGTGTTTATCCTCCAATCCCAGAGTCTCTGCTTCTCCAAGCCAAGCATGCTACATTTGTTACAGACCAAGCTTATTATACACGGCTGGACAACTGCAATCCCACTGTAGGCTCGGGTGTGTACTATTGTCTTGTGTTGAGAAGGAGATGTTAAGTGATAAGCTGGCAACTCTTCAGGAGGTTACAGTCATTCATCCTGTGAGTCCCAGCTTCTGCTCAGCTCAACCTTCCTCAGTATGGACAGGTGAACAAGATTATGTCATAAGGGAAAGTAAAAGTTTTGACTAGGGACAGGATCTAGTGACAGCCACTGCATTTAGAATCATAAAAGAAATTGAACGTAGCAACCCTCTGCTCTCTGACTTGTGGCTATACCTAAACTTTGTGGATTGGAGAGTCACAATGGGGTATCTATAACTCTCAGTACTGGAACATTCCAAAGGAATTAGTTTACTACTCCCCAGAATCAGCAGGGGAATCGAAAGTGGTTCCCTAAGCCAATTTTAGTAACTCCGTCACCACTGACTTTCGTGTGAGACCCAGTGGATGTTTCACACTTGCTGGCTGCCCAGAACAAGTGTCCTTCCCATTCTTTCCCTTTCCTATCCTCTTCACCCATTCTGCTCTCCATCAGAGTAGGGGTATGAACCTGTGACAGATCACTGGGAACACAGCTCAGTAGATTTGTGAGGCCAAGCAAGAGGCCTCATTAAGAAATGTATCTGTTTTAAAACATGGCTTCCTTCCTGGCTCTGCTAAATTGAATGCTCATTTGTTGTTGTGTGTTTCTTTGTTTCCCTTTAACTCTAATGTTCAAATCACTGCGTGCTGTATGATTCTAGAAAGCCTTAATTTACTTCCACCAAGAAATAAAGCAATATGTTGGCAATCAGACTCAGTTCCATTTTTAATAAGCTTGCTTGAGAAGGATGCTGATTGGATAGGGACAGTGGGAAGCAAGCAAGCAAGCCATAAATAAATAAATAAATCCCTCCTGTTGATGTCAGAATAAGCAGCTCAATGCTGCTATTGACCTTTCAAAGTGAGACCTAAGGTTCTGTTGTCCCCATGAACCGTAGGACTTTGGATTTAAATTGGCAGGTAAGTGAATCAAACATAACAGGTTGACCAGGGACTTAGTCCAAACTCTTTTCCAAGATTGTTGAATTCATAACTGCATTTTAAAAGAAATTATATTTGATGGATTTTATAATACCACAGAGAATCTGGGACAGTATCCTTAATTAAACATATTAGCATTCTGTACCAGTGACTATGGTGCAATGCAATTAATATTATTAACCATCATAAATAGCCCTGTATTAATCCAGGTCAGATGTTAACCTGACAATTTCTATAGTAAATAATTAAAATATTTTTTAGAAATGTATGGATTTCAGAATTATGGATGGATAATCATGAGTTTGAGTACACCTGACTCTAATTACAAATAGTTGAGAAGATCTTCAATGTTTTACCATCCATTAGTGTCTCTGAGTATTAAAATATAGGAGAAGTTATGCCTTTGCATAATTAATGCTATCAAATATTATCCCTCTGAGAGTTCTCCATAAATGTTGTTTTGGACATTCAATAGTATCCCATTCTATTACATCTCAATGCCAGCCTTGTCAGAATGAGAAGCCAGCCTGAAGGTTCTGCTTCTCTAAGAGGCCCCTAATAATCACTTGTCTCTTATAACAGTATTTTGATAAATTCTACCAGGCCAGACTCAACAGTGGGACATAAGCATCTCCCAATAAACTGTTTTCAGATTAATGAATGAATGTTGTCATGCTCTTCCATTTAATTCTCTGACCAAATTTTAAATTTTAAAAATTTTGCCAGTTTATTCCATGCACATGATATATTGTGATGTTTATACCCCCATTAAACTCTTTGGTAAGTCTCTCACTCCTCATGGCTCCCTTTTTCTATTGTGTACCATTCTACCTCTGTTATTCCTGTGTGTGTGTGTGTGTGTGTGTGTGTGTGTGAGAGAGAGAGAGAGAGAGAGAGAGAGAGAGAGAGAGAGAGAGAGAGAGAGAGAGGATAGAAGCTTTGTGAGGAAAAGGCCCTAAAACATAATTTTTAATTTAATTTTATTTTTCTTATTTTACATAAAAATCCCAGTTGCCTCTTCCTCCCTCCCTCTTACCCTCCCATGCCTCCCCTGACCGCCCTCCCATCCCACCCCCCACTCCACAGGGAGAGTGATGTCCTCCAGGAGGGGTCATCAAAATCTGTCAAGTCATTTGGAGTGGGGACTAGGCCTTCCCTCCTGCCTCTAGGTTAAGGGAGTATCTCTCTCTCCATGGGGAATGTACTCCCAAAGTCCTTTTGTGAACCAGGGACACATCCTGTTTCCATTGTCAGAGGTCCCTTAGACTGCTCAGGCCTTCTAACTGAGACCCATGTTCAGGGGGTCTAAGTCAGTCCAATGCTGGTTTCCCAGCTATAAGTCTGGGGGCCCATTAGCTCCTCCTTGTTCAGGTCAGATGTCTCTATATGTTTCTGCAGCATGGTCTTGTCCTCCCTCTCTGCATCTGGATTCCAGGTCATATCAGTGTTTAGCTGTAGGTGTCTGCTTCTGTTTCCATCAGCTATTAGATGAGGGCTCTCAATCTCATTATCAGGGAAGGGCATTTATGGTAGCCTTTCAACCGTTACTCAAATTGGTAGTTGGGGGGTCAGTCTTGTAGGACTCTGGACATTTCTCTAGAGACAGTTTTCTCTTGAAACCTATAATGGCTCCCTCTTTTATAGTCTCTCTCTCTCTCTCTCTCTCTCTCTCTCTCTCTCTCTCTCTCTCTCTCTCTCCTCTCATCTATTCCTTCACTGACTCAATCTTCCTAGTCCTAAATGTTTTCCTCTCCTCCCCTTCACTTTCTCCTAGCTCCCTCTCCACTCACTGCCCCACCCCACTCCCAATATGCTCAGGAGATCTTGTTCCTTTCCCTTCTGTGAGTGACCTTGTAGGAATCTCTTAGAATCCTCCTTGTATCCTAGTTTCTCTGGCAGTGTGAATTATACACTGGTGATCCTTTGCTCTATGTCTAAAATCCATATATGAGTGATTACATCCATGTTCCTCTTTTTTGTGACTGGGTTATCTCATTCAGGATGGTTTCTTCAAGTTCCATCCAATTGCCTGTGAATTTCCATTGTTTTTTTTCTGCAGAGTAGTATTCCATTGTGTAGATGTGCCACATCTTCTTCATCCATTCTTCAGTTGAGGGGCATCTAGGTTGCCTCCAGGTTCTTACTATTACAAATATTGCTGTGACAAACATAGTTGAACAGATGTGTTTATTGCATGGATATGGATCATTTGGGTATATGCCTAAGAGTGGGATTGCCGGATCCTGTGGTAAACTAATTTCCATTTTCCTGAGGAACCACCATACTGATCTCCAAAATGGCTATATATGTTTGCACTCCCACCAGCAGTGTAGGAGTGTTCCCCGTTCTTCACATCCTCTTCAACATAAACTGTCATAAGTGTTCCTAATTTTAGCTATTCTGGCAAAAGTAAGATGGTATATCAGAGTTGTTTTGATTTGCATTTCCCTGATAGCAAGGATGTTGAGCACCTTCTATGTGTCTTTCAGCCTTTTTGATTTCCTCTATTGAGAATTTCCTCTTCAGTTCTGTAGGTAATAATGGTATAAGCATGGGTGGCCCATATGCCAATAAATCTGCAATCAGGATTTCCAAGAAGTTAGCTGTTCCCTCTCCTAATTTTCCTTGAAGTGTTCAACAACAGGGTTCTCTGTTGGTATTACTCCAGTTGCAAATACCTGTCATGAGGGTGATCCAAATAACTGAGGTCTCTTATTTCAGTTTACCATGTCCCTTCACTGGCAAATGAACTATGTCAGTGATCTTAAAAATAGTGGGTGGCCTACGAAAGACCAATAAACAGCATTTTACATTGCCTATAATGTCATTAAGGATGAGTTCTTGGAAATCACACATGTCATTAGGCACATGCCATCATTAGGATGGCAAATGCTGATTTATTTGTTCAGAGTAATAGTGAACTAAACAGTGAAAGCTGCTACAAGTGCAAAAGCAACAAAAAGGCT